CTCATCAGGAACAGTCTCATCTTCAAGCTGCTGCAGAAAATGCCTAAAGGTAGCTACTGACAGAAACATGGATAGAACCTAATTTTGACACAATAATATTGTATTCTCAAAAGATATTGGAAAATAACAAAATTCTCATTTAGGAAATGTTGCAAAATATTTATGCAGAGTATCACAGTTTTTATTTCATTATAATTTTATTATTCACGGTTTCAGGTGGAGCTCTACATCTCCATGACTTCTCCATGGTAGATGTAGAATGGCTGGTGAAGAACGCGAGCTATCGGCCACATTGCTATATTTGCTTTACTAGCCGGTCCGTCAGATTCATCTTCTCGTCTCAGCAACCGAAGCCTCTGCCATATTGCTCTTCTTGGTCCCTGCTGGAAAGCCTCAGGGCCAAGACCGTGAACACCACAGATCTCGACAACAGGTGATCTTGTCTGTGTTGCAAAAAATAATAATTTAGAAAGAGACAGAAACACTCTTGCGTAACTTTTATGTAATCGTCCCACCGAGTTCTTTAAGCTTCTGTGAGGCTTCTTATTGGTATATTTAGTTTTCTCTGCATTTCCATACATTTTCCTGTCAATGCTGAGATCATGTGTGAGAGCACCCCCGTAACACATGGCCTCGAGTGCACCTCTGATTTTTGACCTCTGGCCTCCTAAAATTAATAGGCAACAGTATCAATTTGTCCTTAGGGATGGGTACCGGTGTCCGGTGCCATGATGGCACCGGTTCTGACATAAACGGTAGTAACCAGACCGAAAAGCAGCGCACATTTTGGTGCTTTATTTCGGTGCTTTTTTTTCCTGAGCTGTGATACACTTTAGATTCTAGCCAATCATTTTACGTTTCCGAGCATAGTAGGCGGGGCCAGGTACGTACGTTCTGTTAGAGCAGAGCTACAGATTAAAAATGTCCAAGGCGAAGCGGTCAAAAGTCTGGCTGTACTTCAGAGCAAAATATGCAAACTCAGCAGCAACAAGTGCTTTAAGCTGATACTGTGATACTGTCAAAGGAGGTAACACCTCGAAACTGATGAAACACCTGGCGACTCATAGCGTTTTTTTAAAAGCCGAGAAATGCGCTGTATTTGATAGCTTGCTGCGAGACCTCACACTGTGCACGTTGGGTGGGTTGCCAGTTATCGGACCCGGAGCAACATCCCCCAAAAACCCGAAGAATAGAGTCCTGGCCCCTAGCCCTGCCAGTGTAGCAGAAATGATGAGGATGATGATGCAGCAGCAGCCGTTCTTCTCTGCGTGAGTCGCTTAATGTTGTTCGAGTGTAATTTACATTGAGTAGGCTAACCACGTTATTACATTAATGCATGTAAGGTGAACTAACAAACACCATCATAGCTACATGCGGCTGTCTTCTTGTTTGATGGCAGATGCTCCCTTCACCCTGGACAAAAAGGCTAAAATGACCAAAGAAAAAGTGGAAAACAGCTAAACATGAGAGGTTTTTGGACAAAGTTTGTGTTCTCCATTCTTTAAGCACCGGTTCGAGCACCGTTTAAGCACCGGCACCGTTTCAAAAGTACCGATTTGGCACCGGTATCGGATAAAACCTAAACGATACCCATCCCTATTTGTCCTTCTTGTATTTGTATTTTATTGGCACAACTAAGTGGCTTTAAATCTGTGAAATATTACATCCGGATATTATCAGTTAACTGAAACTATTAGGAACAAGGTGAAGTCTCATTAAAGGGAATGAAGTCTGTTATCGTAATCATAAACAGCCCGGCTATTATGAAAGGTAGGACGGTTTAATTTGACAATGTAGTGATTGTTGTTTTTCAAAGAGTTAATAATAATCCTGCATAGTTTTAACTTCAACCTCAGGAAAATGTTAACAATATAATGTTTTGTGCATGTTTGATGTATGGAGTATAAGCCAGTTGTTGGTCTTATCACAACCATATCTGCATACTTGGTCTTAGCATCATGGGCAATCTGACGCTCTTCACTGATAAGGATCCAGAGGCAGTGTACCCCACTCAGACTGTGGTGTGGAGTATATTTGAAGAGACCTTCCAGGCAGCGTATGGTCTGGTTACTTATGCTCCTGTGTTCAAAGACTATTTCTACCAGGGCCTCAGCCAGTTCTACATGGACAATGTTATGTATCTTGAACTTCGCGCTATACTTCCAAAGGTATTTTAATACTTACATTCTAACTATACTCTATATATACTGATTTCCCTGTGTGTCTGATGTACCCAATGGATTCACACGTGTTAATTTCTTCTTCTTTGTTATATTTAGATATATGATTTGGATGGCCGCACTTATGACAAGGCCTGGATTTTGAAGACCTGCCAGGACATCTCAAGGCAGTTTGTAGCAAACCATCCTGACTTTGTTGGCGTGAGAATCATCTTTACCGCCAAAAGGTTGCTGCTCTGAGTGCTTTTAAAAATTAGTCAGTACTATTTATTTATAATTCCACACTGCTTCTGACAGATAAAATGCGGATTTAATCACTGATCAATTCTGCCTATAATAATTAGAGGTATTTGTAACTGGGGCGGCACGGTTGTTAGCACTGTTGCTGCACAGCAAGAAGGTCCTGAGTTCAATTCCACCATCAGGCCGGGGTCTTTCTGTGTGGAGTTTGCATGTTCTCCCCATGTTTGTGTGGGTTCCCTCCGGGTACTCCGGCTTCCTCCCACCGTCCAAAGACATGCAGCTTGTGGGGATAGGTTAATTGGATAATCCAAATTGCCACTAGGTGTGAATGTGCGAGTGAATGTGAGTGCGAATGGCTGTCTGTCCCTGTGTGTTGGCCCTGCGACAGACTGGCGACCTGTCCAGGGTGTACCCGCCCTATGACAGCTGGGATAGGCTCCAGCGCCCCCCGCGACCCTGAAAAAAAAGGATAAACGGAAGCGATTGGGTTGTAACTATTGGAGCTATTTTGTTATATTTTGTAACTTATTTAATTTAGTTAGTTACTGTTCTTACCGTCTTGGAGCAACTGGAATTGATAAAGTATTCTGTTCCTGTGTATTTCAGGACAATAAACACTAACACAATGCTTAAAGTTGTGGAGCAGGCTATGGAGCTGTACAGAGACTTTCCTGATATCATGGCTGGTTTTGATCTGGTAAGAAACACTTTTACAGTTTGAAACCATTGAAAACAAAACATGCTGGAAGATCCCAAATGGACTGAAATGGTGTCATGGCTTCTATATATGTTGAAAACAAGAACACACGAAAACTTGTGTTTGCGTTACAGGTGGGTTGGGAGGATGGCGGGAGACCCCTGTGGTATTACAGAGATGCCTTGTCGCTCCCTGTAGAGAGAGGGGTCCCACTTCCTTTCTTTTTCCATGCTGGAGAGACAAGTGAGAATTCATCATGATTCCAGTGTACCAGTATAACAATCACAAGTTTGTTTTTAACCCCCATATGTAAAACTGCACAAATGTGAAGTTTACTATATGTTTAATCCAGAGAGTGCAAAAGAGTATTTGTAAGTCATTCATTTTCTTTGTCTTTACTGTGTGCAGATTCTCAGGGTACGGAAGTAGATCAGAACATATTGGATGCTCTTCTCTTTAATACGTCACGCATTGGACATGGATTTGCACTAACGCGCCATCCAGTCGCCAAAGAGTGGTCTAGAAAATATGGGGTTGCTGTGGAGGTGTGCCCCATCTCCAACCAGGTACACTGCTATCTGCCACTATACTGTACATCAGGGGTGGGCAGTTCCAGGCCCCGAGGGCCAGTGTCCTGCAGGTTTTAGATCTCACCTTGGGTCAACACACCTGAATCACATGATTAGTTCGTTACCAGGCCTCTGGAGAACTTCAGGACATGTTGAGGAGCTAATTTAGCCATTTAAATCAGCTGTGTTGGTTCAAGGACACATCTAAAACCTGCAGGGACACCAGCCCTCGAGGCCTGGAGTTGCCCACCCCTGCTATACATGGATGGTAATGTTTTCCTGTTTGTAGTGCGAGTGGACTAAAACCCTTTGTCTCATCTTCTCCTTCCACATACCCTTACCCAGGTGTTGAAGTTGGTCAAAGACTTGCGAAACCATCCAGCTGCTGCACTAATGTCTGAAAACCACCCGGTTGTCATCAGCTCTGATGACCCCGCCATATTTGGTGCATTTGGCCTCTCTTATGACTTCTATGAAGCTTTCGTTGGTTTGGGGGGCATGCGTTCCCATGTAGGCTCCCTTAAACAGCTGGCCATAAACTCTATCAGGTGAAGCTCTGCTAAGATGTGACTTGTAGTTGCATTGTGTGCGCTAGCATGCTTTTGGGTGACTGATGTTCCTGTGTCTGTGTTTCAGGTATAGTTCTTTGAGTCCCGAGCAAAAGGAGAAAGCACTGTCTCTGTGGCAGAGAAGATGGGATAAGTTTGTCTCCGAAAATGCCTTTTAGTAGTAAACTTGCATTTGAAAACGACAAACAATGATACAAGCAGTCCTTTCTGCTGTGAAAGGGGCCTTTTGTAGGACAGTCGAAGCTGAATCATGAGTGTAAATGTCAAAAACTGCTGAAACAGCCACTGAGTAGGTTTGTGGTCGGCACAAATATAGTGTTGTTGCCCACAATGTTTTGTAATGAATGAAATAATGTGTCATAACATGTCGGCTACTGTGGGGGGAAAAAAAGCCTTTAAAAAAGGTAGAACAGACTCACAATGCCATGTTAAATACAGTAACGGTGTCACACAGCTTTAAGTGATTGAGCTGTTAACTGCTGTTTTATTCTCTGTGGTTCTCTCGCATGTTGCATAAGTGTGACAGGTAGCTTTTGTGTGTGTGTTTTAAATCACATGACCTATGGAACATTTTTCTTTAAAGACAGCATTTTTAAAAAAAAAAAAACATCTGTAAGACTTTTTACTTGAATGTAATTTTAACACTTATGCCTTCAACTGACTAGTAATTAATATTTGCTTATGCAGGCAAAACTGCGCGAAAGACTTGAAACACAAAAAGTAATCATCTTTCAGAGGCTACTTTTTAAAGCAGTATCTGAAATTTAATTAATAGTTTTCAAATCATGCAAACATGAATGTTCTGAACTACATTTCACATAAAAGCAGCTGGTTATTCATTGTTCTTTTTATGCAACACCATCACTGGTATCAGAGCGGTGCATCACCCCTCATCTGCTGCAGGTGTTGAACTTGGAGAAGAAGCTGTCATCAATACATCCTCTTTTAATGTCTGGTTTCCTTAAAAATGAAGCGTTGTTAAAAACAGCGAGACAGTGTACACTGTGTTAAATTTAATAAAAACAATTTTGCTCAAAAGTTACTAACTGTTGTTTGTGTGTTTCGGCCAGTTGGGCGTTGGCGCTGTCCAGGTCTCGCCTCAGCTGCCTGTTCATTCGTGCCTGCTGCCGCTCAATAAGCAGAGTGGTACGAGCTGAGTTCAGGCGCACGCGATCGTGCCGCTCTTCTTCTTGTTTCTTCTCCAGTTCTTTTCTCTTTACATGCACAGACAACACACACATTAGGAGAAAAATGCTTAATATGGGCTAACTTTTAAATAATCCACACTTTGAGTGCAAACATGTATTTTTTTTTTTACCCTCTTCTCCTCCATTTGATGTTTCTGGATTTGAATGATCTGCTGCAGGCTCTCAGGAGCTGTTCTCCTGTCACTGCTGGGACTCAGGCCGGGCACGGCCACCGTACTCAGGGTACCTTGAAACTGGCTTTGCCTGCCATTGATTTCTTTGTCTTGACAGCGCTTTTCTTCAGCCTTTGCCCGTGGAGACACATGAGTAACAAGGTGGAAATAAAAAATGTTTATTGAAGCCTATAGCAGCGTTTAATGCAGTTAAATTCCTCTGACTCACCATAGACCGATTGAAGTCTTTAGTGGCGATGGCAGCTGCCTTTCTCCTTTCTATCTCAAGGCTCTGAAGTTGCACAGCTCTGTTGTCCATTCCTACTCTGCTTTGGTCATAACGCTGCTCTAAAAATTTCAGTAGAGACTATGACGTGAGCTTGACTTTTGTGTTTGAACTGAGCATGTGTATCAAGCATGGTTTTAAGGCAAAACCCACCTTCCAGCTCTTGTTGATGCCTTTCCGCTGCCTGCTCAGTCTGCTGCTGGGTGAGCCACTCTCTGAGCTGTTCCCTCTGGTTCTGCTGCCTGATCTTACTTTCTGGGTCTTCACCCACCAGGCCAGGAGGCATCATCTGTGCATCACTCTGCTCTACTTTTTTAATACGGCTGGGATCATTCAAATCATACTCTCGCCGATCTTCAGGGTGCTGGTATTGCTGCCTGTAGGCGACAACGGCTTTTTCCAGTGCACGCTTCTCCTTCATTTGGCGGCTGTCGACAATGCAAGCTACTTTGCCATAACGGAGCATATCAGCATCTGCATGACGATCACATGACACACATGTATCACAGTTCACTTTAATGAAGGATTGAATGACATCACATCAGGAAACAAATTTGAAGTAACTCACCATAAGCGTTTTGTTCCTTTTTTGCAGCTTCTACTTGTTCCCTTTTCTCTTTCACCTGCTCATCCAGGGCTTCCTTGTCAACCTGTAGAACAGTCATTTAGAGACAAACACAGTGCGTTAAGCTTCTCTGCCGCGGACTTTCCACTTCTGTTTAATTCAGACCCACAGCAGAGCCTCAAACACGCACCCCGATCGTCCTCAGCTTGTCATTAAAAATCCTTTCTTTTCTTTCAGCCTCTATGTTGCGACGCTTCTCCAGACTGGCTCTGGCGAGGCGCTCTGAAAGTAGTTCATTTTTAAGCATTTTGGCTCAGCGGTGGCTACAATTTAGCTGAGGATTTGCTCCCATCGGAAACTTAGATTTCAAACACACTGGTTGCTAAGACACCAGTGCTCGCGAGCCGTCGTAAGACCTCGGCTTTTTCCGGAGCACTCACCCCAGATGCCTCGGATCGAAACATTTCAGCTAATGAAAGCAGACCGACTCACATTTGCTCGTCACGTTTTTGAGATGAACATCACCAAACTATCCGATCGATCCTTTTTCCTTCTCCCAGAATGTTAGTTTTGATGTTTCTATTCGGCGTTAGAGCACATTCCTGCCACTTAAGCTCTAAAGAAAAGATGTTTGAGGGACACGCAACAGTATTTTCCCATCACGCTCAGATTAAAAGTTCCCTGATGTCGGTTTCCCATCACTGATGACATATTTCCCCATGCTCATCGATGACATCTCCGTGATTTGGTTGAGATGAGAAATGTAAACGTGCATCTCCACTGACATTCTGGTACTCATGAGCTGAAATGCTTCCAGCATGTTATACACAAGCTCAGCATAATTCTCTGCTCTCTGATTGGCAAGAAAGTTCTGGACACCCTGCACAAATGCTTCCCAGTCCTGCTGATTTCACTTTCCTTTAGGACACGTCATGAAGCACGAGTTCACTGATAAAAGTAACAGGTGATATTAGCTAGTCTGTCTGCATTTGGTTACAATGAAGCTTCTGACCTAATTTGCAGACTTTATGAGACCTTATCAGCGTTACACATGTAGCAGGATGGTTTAAGCGAGGCTCTATCACCTCCCTCCCTATGCTCATTGACGGCATCTGTTGTTGCTCGCTATTTGGTGGCTGCATTTTAACTATGGGGCGCCGTTTGTAAAGTGAAACATGCTGAAATTAACGGCAACATTTTTCCACATTTAGCTCAAAACCTTACAAAAACATGTTTTTTCGAGTCATTTTTTACAACATTTAGTAAAATATTTGTAAATTTTCATATTTAAAACACAATTTTAAATGTTAAATCTAAATGTTAAATGTCATTGTTACAGGAAACTAACTATATACTATACGGATCAACGGAAATACCAAAATAAAAGCTTTACAAAAACCTCCGGTGCAAAAGTGTGCCGGTAGGTAGTGGTCAGATTGGCAAGAGACCGCACGCTTGAAGTACGCGCACTACGCGTACTACGTACGGTGCGTACGAGAAGTGCGGAAGTGAGAGGATTGTGAAATGGGACGGTCTACCCTTCTTCGCGCTGTTCAGGTTGCCTAGCAACCATGATACTAACTGCGAGAAATGTTACACACAGCTTTGTGTGACAGAAATGAAGGAGAAAAATGTTTTTTTGTCATGACATCACTTTGATTAGTTGAGTATCTGAGGCTGAGACCACAGGACTGTAAAACATGATTGTTGGGCTTCATTTATGTACTGAACAGTCATTTAAGATTAGTTAGTAAATAACAATTAGCTAATGTTGTTCATGAGACTAAAATCATCTCACTGCTGTAATGTAAATATAATATGGCTTTTATATCTATCTATCTATCTATCTATCTATCTATATATATTACAGCAGTGAGCTTGAACTCTGGGTCAGAGATTCAAGTTGCAGTTATTTATCTTTCCTATCACCTAAAATCTTCATTCAAAGACAAGCATCTTTGACAGTGTATATACAGATGTATTATACATAAGAGACAAATATTTTTCTTTTAATATGCTGGCATTACTAAATTTGGCTCAATGCTTACATATATGTGTAAAAACAAAATGTAGGAGCTGTGATAACTGTTTCTGATAGAATGAAGAGTAGACTAATATATGAAATATTCCTTTATTGGGTGAGAAAATCAGACCATGTCATAACTGCTTTAAGTCACACAGAATAGATATCAGAGCCTTAAACAGGCTGACGTCTGCTAAATGGGTCAAACTGGGCAGAAAGTCTACAAACACATAACATCCTTATAGAATATTATGTAACACTATAGATCAACTTAGCTCAGAATATATAAAGCATATAAACAATTACAGCAATATGATGCAACAAACACAGCAGCTACTGATCCAAAATACTCAAAGCTTCATAGAACTGAAACCAACATTTATTTTAGGTCCATTCTGCTGCTGATACATACTTTAGGTTTCTGAACATTAAACTTGTTGCTGCCTTTCATAGTGTGTAACTTGAAGGCCCTGAGTACTCTGAGTACTTTCTCCCACACTGAAAACACTGGAATGATAAAATTATTTGAACATTACCTAATAAGACTGATTCAGCACAGACAGTTATGTTAAACTTTCCTAGCAGTCCTTCACAAACAGGGAACAGTCTGTCTATTCTCTCCATCTGTCAGCTGCTGCTGGCTCTTCCTCCTCCTCTTCCTCACACACTGCTGAGTTTGTCCTGGTGGATCACCAGGGGTGCAAAGCCTCACAGATGATGTAATGCAGTGGGTCCCTCAGTCTGTCCTCACTCTGGACACTTGCAGTTGTCACACATGGAAATCAAATGTGTGATAAGCTGCAGGATTCAAACACAAGTGTAACTTATAAACACATGTTCATACTTTTATTCCACAATCAGAGAGAAAGAAACAGAGAGAGAGTGCAGGACAGACAGGTGACAGTCTCAGGTGTATGCACTGCTACACAACAGCACCAGAGAAGCAGGATTTAGTGTTTGTGTTATTACGAGTGTAAACAAGAAGAGTTCCAGATGGTGCAGTGGACACATGTGTGACTGCTGTGATTAAAGCATCTTTCTTTCAGCTTAACGAGTGAACCGTCAGCTTGTTCAAACACACGTTAAAGTCCGTTTGGCTCAACACCACCGAACAGAGGCAGCAATATAACACAGCTCACATTAACAGTGCAGTGAATCCTGCTTGTGCCGTGATATTCAGGACTGCAAACCGAGCAGCATCACTGACTTTCAGCTTGTTGTGTTTGTGGATATATGACTGACTTTAATTATCCATCAAATCATCACATTCTCTGTAAGGTTCTGGACAAGTATAACTGACACCAATATATCAATTACACCAGGAAATGACATGGACACGTTGAAATTAATTCTTCAACAGAAAGTAATTGATCTAGATTGTGAATATAAGGAGCATAATATAATAGATCCAGAAATAGATTCTGAAAGTAACTTTCTCTCTACTTCTGTTAAAAATTGTAATTATTTCACTCAGGAACAATATGAAAAAGAAATTAACCTAGACGGGAAGCTCTCATTAATTCACTTTAACAGCAGAAGTATGTACTCTAATTTTGATTTCATTAAGGACTATTTGCAACAATTTTCTCGCCCCTTTAGTGTTATAGCCATCACTGAAACTTGGTTCAATGTCGATAAAGGAATAGATTTTTGTTTGAATGGATATGATTTAAAATACATGAATAGATTAAACTAGAAAGCGAAAATTTCTGAAGAAATTTTAAGTGTGCCTATGCCGCCGCTAATCAGTATAGTTTGCCATTCAAACGGCTACAGAGAGCAAAACTCACCGGAGCAGCCATTCTCCACCATGAACTATGGTAAAACCAAACACCGCTCGCGCCTCACAGATGACAGCTTACAGTTTTGTGTAAAGATGAGGTGACTTCGTACAGCCCCAATTTGTAGACGCTGTGCGCAGAGGTTCATAAGCAGACCTGACAATGTTTGCATGAACACACTTTGAAGCATTACGTTATGGACCACTTTTCACACATAGTTGCTGTACCCACACAGCCGGCTGTAGCTTTTCATCTCATAGCCCGACACATACACAAAAAAAAAAAAAAAAAAAAAAAAAAAAAGCAGAGAGAGCACAGACTTTACACCTGAGAGGCGTGATTGCAGATGCCGCTGAGGTGGGTCCACCTCCCCTGCAGCGGCACTGCAGACCACGCCCTGCCACACACATCAAACACGTAAAATAAATATTTATGCACTTTTCATTCACTTTTTGTTTTTTGTTATTTTTACACAGTGTTCTGAATGATTAACAATGGTCTACAGCCAATCTTGTGTATTATTATACAAACTTTGGTTGTAAGATTCAGATAACTATTTAATAAAAGCTAAATATTTTATATGAGAGTAAGAAAGAAAAGTATATCTTTGTCTCATACTCTCATCAGACAATACATGAACCTCTCAATAAACAAAATATTTGCTCGGCTTAAATGACAAACCGCTATTTTACACAGTGGAACACTTATTTTTAAACAAAACCAATGCAGTTCGCCACTGACAGTGCTTACCTTTGCACATCACAGTAAACACTGAACCAAGATGGCGCCCACGCGAACGAGAAATCTGAACTACGGTGTCCTGCAGAGGACAAATGGTCAAAATTGCTAAAATTTACAACATATATGCAGCTCAACAGCGACACCTTGTGACTTATTCCAGTCACTACCTTACATATACATAACGTCTTACCTGACATTCAGTTCACCGGACACTCATACTGAATCACCAGCCCATATAAATGAAAAATAACACGACAGCGTGAGCGGGCCTGGGTGTCAGCCAGCCCAGCCTGGGTGTCAGCCAGCCCGACCTGGGTGGCAGCCAAGCCGCGCTAGCCAGCTAGCCGGCTAGCTGCCATGCGGCGGTGAAACGTGAGCGTGAGCCGGCCTGGGTATCAGTCAGCCCGGCCTAGGTGTCAGCCAAGCCGCCCTAGCCAGCTAGCTGCCATGCGGCGCTAGCAGTAACATCGTGAGAGATATGGGACTTCTTGATAAAATATGGGACTTCTTGATAAAACGAGCAGATATTTGAAGTTTACACCCCTACATTCTCGCCTGAAAATAGGGGAGGCTGTCATAAAGTTCAACATCAGTAACTTAGCGCGCACAGCTGTATAGAAACTCCGTCGTGCTAGCACACAGTACAGTTATTGTAACTGTCAGCACAACGAAAATAAACTACACCTAAACTCGGTTTATATCTGACCCAAATAGAGTGCAGTTAATAACGTCTTACCTGAAATTCAGTTCACCAGCCGCCTGCTTCTCCTGCATTGGGTTTCCCTTATCCACGATTGAGCTCCGCGTTAGCCACCACCGGT